CCCCCCCCCCCCCCCCCCCCCCCCCCGGCCCCGCCATTTCCCTGCTGCTGGCTGTGCAGTTGCTCCGAGAAAGCAATATATCTGCAGGAAAGTTTCAGCAGTTAACCAATACTTTTGTGTCCATAACCATGCTAGTACCATGGCCCACAGGAGATCTAAAACATGACTCCAGCCTTTAGGGAGCTTATTACATTGTCGGGAAGACAAAAGTTATTATATACAAACAGAGAACAGATAGAACAGGTAGATCCAGTGGTGTGCTGGGGCCGGTGCGTACCAGATCATGAGAGCCAACCATTCAATTTTCAGGAATTTTGTGAGCAAGTTGTTAAACTGTTGATAGTTTGAAATTGGCCATGGGGGAAGTAGTTACACCTCAGAAATTGGCAAACACTACAAATCAGGGCTCCAGAAAGTTGACTGTCAAACACCTACCAACACAGAACTCGGTACACTCTTGTCTTATTCCTAGTCATCCCTCCTCAATATCTTGGAGGCTGGTGTAGAAATCTTGGAACTTTCAGGAAACTTCCTGTGTAAGCAGTGAAGAAGTATTCCTAGAAGAAAACGTAGGGAAGCAGCCCCTCAACGTTGGTCCTGGCAATAGTGTTTGGGATGTGATTCCAAAAACACAAACAGCAAAAGGGACCACATCAAACTCAGAAGCTCCTGCACGGCAAAAGACGCGATTAACAAAATGAAAAAACAAATCACGGAATGGGAGAAAAATTTTGCAAACCATATACTCAATAAGGGTTAATAACCAAAATATATAGAGAACTCGTACAACTCAAGGAAAAAACAAACAATCCAATTTAAAAACAGGCAGAAGAACTAAATAGACATTTTTCCAAAGAAGACAACAAAAGGGCCAACAGGCACATGAAAAGATGCTCAACATCGCTAAGCAACAGGGAAATTAAAATCAAAACCATAATGAGCTAGCACCTCACATCTGTTAGAATGGCTATTATCAAGACGACGAGAGATAACAGGTGCTAGCAAGGACGTGGTAAAAAGGGAACCCTTGTGCACTGTTGGTAGGAAGGCATTGGTCCAACCACGACGGAAAACAATATAGATGCTCCTCAAAAAATTCAAAATAGATCTACTATATCATCCAGCAATTCCACTTCTGGGTATTTATCCAAAGGAAATGAAAACAGGATTTTACAGAGATATCTGCACTCCCATGTTTATTACAGTGTTATTCACAATAGCCAAGAAATGGAAACAACCTAAATGCCCATCAACAGATGAATGGATAAAAAAGATGTGGTGTATGTATACAATGGAATATTATTCAGCCACGAGAAAGGAGGATATCCTGCCATTTGTGACAACATGGGTGAACCCTGAGTGCATTCTGTTAAGTGAGATAAACCAGACAGAAAAAAACAAATACTGTGTGATATCACATGTATGTGGAATCTAAAGTCAAATTCATAAAAAGCAGAGAGTAAAATGGTGGTGACCAGAGGATGGGGAGTAGGGGGATAAGACTGACGTTGTTTAAGGGTGCAAACTTGCAATGAGTTGTAAATAAGTCATAGAGATCTAACGCACAGTATAATGAATATAGACAACAGTATTGCACAATTGTCAAACTTACTAAGAGACTAAAAATCACCCCAACCACTAAAAACGAAAGGATAGTTATTGAATGTGATAGATGTGCTAAATATCGCTACAACGGCAATCATAAAGGTATCAAATTAACACCTTGTACACCTTAAATTTACACCATATTACATGTCAAATATATTCAGTTTAAAAAAAAAGAAATAGAGAAGTGGAAAAAGTTGTGAAAATCAGGAAGGCCTTGAGAGAGGCCAGCCAGATGGCCGCTACACACTATGGGAAAGGACTGGCAGGTGTGGCGCCTTCTCCCACAGGTCCCACCCTGGGATGTTTGAATGTTTATACTCAACATTAGCACAGTGACTCAAATTCCTATGAGAGTTCCATTCAGGTTAGTAAGGTCCTCATTGGGATCTTGTTAACACCTCTAGGAGTCCAAGCCATCACTCACACACCAACTTGGATGAATTCATTGCACTGCCTAGTCTCCCCTTCCGACTTCTCCCTGAGATCAAGGTCCTGAGAGGACCGGAAGTGTGACTGGGAAAAGGAAGAGGCACGCACTATGGGGAAAAGACTTGCCTGGGTAGAATCCACAGGATGTGTGACGGGTTCTTGGGGCAGGAGGAGGCACGAGGGGCATCAGGAGGAGGCCCCAGGGCACGGGGGCAGGTGCACAGAGTGGGGTGGAGTATGTTTTGTTTCCACCCAAGAAAGAGAAAGGAGGCTCTTCCTTCTCCCCTCCCAGGTCATTATTCCTATATCTCAGAATTATTACAGGCAATTGTCCTTGGCTTAATTTTGGCCCTGGGCTCTAGAGTCAAGGAGAATGAGACAGATGCAGAATCCAGCCACCTCTTATTTAAATATCTGTAAGCACTTTTTATGGCCCAGACTAGGAAGATAACTCAGAATATACTCAATGCAACAAAATAAGAAACTTGTCTAGAGGTGAGGACAATTGAGAACCAGGACATTTATAATATGAATCTAGGGGCGTGGGGTTGAGGGGCCCCTGTTTGGAGGGCACACACTTGGGGTCCCTAAGAATACCAGGACTATAAAAGAGGGCTCAACCTTTCCTTCGGAGTCATGAGAAAAATCGCCTCAGTGAACAGCTCCAAATCTTACATCACTACCCAAATCTTTATAATAAACAAAATCTTGATCAATAAACAACCTCAATCCACTGAGAAGTTTACCCCAAAATGTCTTGAGACAGTATAGTTTCTTTAGTGGGTAAATGTCTTCCATTCCTGAGAAAACTTAGAATTCAGCGTAGAGATGCTGAACCCACCATCCTAATATTTTTGAGTGGTATTTGGAATTATCATTGAATATGTGGTATTTAAAGAACTTGAAATATTTAAGAGAATTTGGCATATTAGAAAATCTAATGAATTCAACTTGTGATTTCAAATAAAAATGTATCTTTGAGTATTTGATTTTAGGCTTGTGTTTTAAATTAAAAAGTATGTGAGAATTTGGCTAAATATATAAATAACAGTGAAGTGGTTAAGATAACTTATAATTCTCAATATTTATAAATCTGTATATTTAAAAGAGTTACTTAAGTACCTTGGTAGTTTTTGTTAAATGACAGAAAAATTAAATTTATAAATGAAATTTAAACATATTAAATTTAATATTACATATTAGCATGGTATTTTATATATTATAGACTAATAAATTTACAAATGCAATTTAAAATGCCTAAGGAGATTTAATTAACAAAGTTTGCAATTGGGACTGTACATTAATCAAGAGCTTAAAAGTGATTATAAATTTTGCTACAGAGTAATAAGATTTGTGTATTTATAGAGTGCAGTAGAGTAATAGGATTTTTAAGTTGAACTTATAAACTTAAGGTTTTGAATTTGTATCCTTAATTAATCAAATGCTAATTTTAAAAGCCAAAGTAGCCATAAATTGTGTTTTCTGTGTACAAAAGCTGCCCTCATTAGCAAAATCGAAACCAGCAAAAACCAGCCCAGGGACAGTCAACACTGACAGGATGATTTTATTTGGAGGGAGCCTGGGGAAAGACATCCTCAATCCCTAATAAGTGGCTGGCAATTGTTCTAGAGCACAGCCCATTTCTACAGTGGGGACTGTCACTGTGCAGATGGGGAAAGCTCTGGGGCGTCACCAAGCAGCTGGCTCAGCACTGCCGAGTGGCCTGGGCAATCCTGCTCGCAGCTCTCAAACCCCTCGTTTGCCAGCCACACGGACCGACGACTGCACTGGCCCCGACCTGGGGCCCCGAGTAGGGATGTGGCAGGGAGCACCTCTCTCTCCCCTGCTCCCTATGTTAAACCTTATAAGGAGGCCTACACAGGTCCACTTCTCTGGAGGGGTGGGGTAAATGAGGCTGCAGAATGAAAGCCCACCTCTTCTGGCTGGACCCTGACTGAGAAGTAACTGCAGCCTGTTTCTCAGTTTATCGTAAAAGAATGAAAAGTATTTTCCTCACATCACCCACCTCCTCAGCAGTGTAGTGGACATGAATCAGGCCTTGAACCCAGGTTTATGAGAAAAACCAACTTTAATCCCCAAATTTCAACTTGTTTTTATTTGGAGAGCTCATTCTGCCAGACTCCAGAGAAACATTCCTTCAGCCTTTCTCTGGGTTTCCACTCTCCTCCCAGGATTGAGGCTCTAGGATGCCTTCTCAGCCCCACGGTGTTGCTGGGTTGGGCATCTGTCCACTCAGATTCCCCCGACACGACCATGGTCAGCACCCACCCCCCTCTCCCTGAGGCTGAAAGACGACAGCTGAGGCCCCCAAATCTGTCTGAACCTGGGCGGCTCGGCTTTCTCTCCCGGCCCTCACCTGTGGGGCTGCAGGAAGCCCTGTGGGCTGGCCTCCCCTCCTTTTGCTCTGCCCTCTTGGTGTGGGAGGTCCTTCCCTAGTCTAAAACTCCTGCACAAGTGTTGTTTCTATAAGAAGGAACAGAATAGAATGAAGGTTACGAACGTGTCAAAGAAACCAGTGAGCAGTTTAAATTGGTTCAGCAGAATATCAACTGAGAGAAGTAAGGGTGATTAAATGACATAAATGGAAAAAAAATAAAATAGAAATAAACAGCCTTGGCTTTATCTCCCAACTCACATCCCCAGTGCTGGACCCCAACTCAGCTTCTTGAGCCACTACAAATTGGACCTGCGTTGTTCAGCTCCTACTGTTTGGATTAGTTCTTAAAAGTAAAAGACGTCTGTGTTTAGACCAGACCATGTCCTTCACCCTCGAAATTCCACAAATGGCCCCAAGCCGAGTGCTCCAGCGGGTGGTGGAGCCAGGTCCCAACCCTGCTCTGGAGGGGAGCCCCCGGAAGTCACAGCCTCAGTTCAAAGTACCCTGAACGATGGGTTCATTTCCATCCTTCATCCACGCTGTGATCTAGCACGCAAGGCTCCTCCTCCCTGAGTTTAACTTGCTAACTGAAATCCAATTTATACACCATAAAACACAACAGGGTGTCACCGTGGGAGCGTGTGTGTCCACAAAAAAAGCCGTCCAACTAAGTGGGAACATCCGTCTGAGATCCCACGTCTGGAAAGTCCCTTCCAGCCCTGTGGTTTCTGTGAGCTCCTGGAGGAAGAAGATTGTGCACTGTTCCCCTCTGTACCCCGCCCTCGGGCCCTCAATGAAATGTTTGTCCAGTTGGAAAAGCCAACTGCGCCAAGCCCGATAGCGGGAGGCTTCACATTCTCGTCTTTCTCCATAGCGTCCCCTAGGGGGCAGCAATTCTCCAAAAATAGCCCTATTCTGAATAAGCTCCTTTTTAGCTAAAGATGACTCTTAAAGATCATTAAAAGTAAAAAATAACAACCACAATTTATTAAACACTTACTCTATGCCTAGTGCTGCGCTTAAGAACTCTTATTTACCAAAACATACAGACTGAAAAAAAAAAAACAACCTCACACAAAACATCCTAACTGAATTATTTCGAATTAGGCTCTGAATGAACAC